GCGCGCGCGCGCGCACGCACACGCACACGCACACGCACACGCACACGCACACGCACACGCACACGCACACGCACACGCACACACACACACGCACACACACGCGCGCACACAAACAAACAAACAAACAAACAAACAAACAAACAAACAAAAAACTCCGTGTGTCCGCGTATGCCTCCACGTGTCTCCGTGCGGCTGTGCCCGCCATTCCCTCTCCCGACCTGCCTGCGGGTCCCCGACGCCCGCGGGCGCGGCTCGTGGCGGCGGGAGAGATCGGCGATGGACCGACCTCGCTATAGCAAACCTCGCTTTCGCAAACGCGTGGACAAAGTGCTCGTAGCGCAAACGCTTCAGCAAACGCTTTAGCAAACCTTGCTCGAAAAGCTGGCTTCGGCGGTGGACAAACCTCGCTGCAGCAAACCTCCCCTTGAGTGGAAACGGCCCAGAACCGAGACCGACGGACCTGGACCCGCAAGAATGAACGGCCGCGGCGCCCTCATCGCGAACCGACAGCGGCCAGTCCCTGAATCGACGCGTCAGGGCAGGAGGCCTGTCAACCCCCGCTGGTTCAGGAAGATATCCCACGGGGCTCACCCTTATGCTCTGGGCGTACCATACTGAGGGGAGGTGCCCGAAGTGTGGAGCACGGGGTTGTATACTTCGTCGAGTGTCAGGTCGGGCGTGTCCCCCTGCAGGGGGATCTTGGAAGAAGAATAAGAAAAGATACCCCAAAAATGCCCTCCAAAGGGGCAAAAATAGTCAACAAATCGTCCCCAGGCTATTCTTCGACTATTTCTGAATACCCCTCCTTTAGGGGGACAAGCCCGACCCAGGTCGAGTGCTGGGATCGGGAGCGGCCAAGAGGGGGGTGTCCAAGAGGGGGGGGCGCAAATCATGACCGGCGGCATGTGCGCGGCCCAGCGCGGGGGCCAGGGACGTAACGAAATATAAGAAGAGGCGCCATGAGATCTGGGGAAATAGCATGGCCCCCGCCATGATATCCCCACCCCCCCCCCCTCGTCATCACCCCCCTCTTTGCCGCCCCCGATCACAGGGCCTCGGGACGGGCAAAAAAAAAGGCGGGAAGGGGTCTGGGCCTCGGAGGGTCGCGTCAGGAGGAATCAAGGGGCTCAAGGACACACAAATTAATACGCACAAATAACAGGATTCACCATATTTCCCATATGTTCATCTGTTCTGTCTTCCCCCCACTTCCCATGTTTTCCTATATTTTCCTGGGAATCGACGATTAATTGTGTCTGTGTGTTTTTTTCCCCTCCTGAGGAAAGCCTGACGGCGGGGGGTCTGGGGGGCACGAGGCCCCTTCCGAGGGCCACGCTGCCACAGGAATGCAGAGGGCAAGGGTGGAAACGCAGGACAGAGGGGTGCAGGGCAGGTTTTAATACATGGGATGTTTTAAAATATGGGATTTTTAATGCATGGCTAATTTATGAATAAATTGATGCACGAACTCGTCCTTGCTTTAGTACTAAATCCCGGCATTTTCAATACATGATCCGCACGCGGAGCATGTATGAAAAACTGCACTGTACCCTCGAGGTGGCAGGGTCGACCTATGAATGGAGGCCGACTGCATGTCTCACGCTGGGCGGTTCCACACGGCCTCGGGCCCTGGGGATCGCTGAGGCTCTAGGATGCACCGGAAAGACTGGGTCGAGGGCTCTGCCTTCGACTAGCGGCGAAGTTGCACTGCCCCCTAATGAAAAGCGTGTCGCAGAAGGGTTCGAATTGAGGAAGGAGCACGTTACCTGGTGACGTACCCAACCCTTTTCTAACACGGGGCAGCTAGATTGAGGACCGCTCAACATGAAAGAACATGATGGAAAACGCGCACTCCGCAGCCCCCCAGGGGAGCCGCAGGGTCTAGACTGAGTCCGCGTGGACCTCCACTCCGCTGGACCTCCAAGGAGCCCACGAAAATGGGCGGCAGTTGCGCAGTCGGCAGCCCCCCAGGGCCCGTGAGTTTCGGCTGGGTCTGCGTGGACCTCCACTCCGCTGGACCTCCCAGGAGCCCACGAAAATGGCGACAGTTGCGCGGTTCGCAGCCCCGCATGGCCCACGAGGTCTCGACGAGGGAGAGGACAACTGAACAGGAAAGAGAGGGGGCTGGGGGGAGGGGATGCAAGGGAGGCGGGGGGATGGAGGAGAGAGGCGGGATGAAGGAGGAGGTAGAGGAGCCCACACTGCTCAGTCAAAACGAGAACCCAACCAACGGAAGGGTAAGAAAAAGAGTCCCACAAAGGGGGGACGGGGATCCCTAGGCCGCCCAGTCCGGCAACCATTTCGCCCTAAAACTCCCTCACAATGTATTCCGGAATTGTGCCCTCGCCTCAATGCCAGCTACATTGTTGGCCTTGATCCCTTTTAAAAAAAGAACAAGGTTCACATGGCTGTGCTCCCACCCCTGTCCTGGGTGCTCTCACCCCCATCTCGCCTCTTCACCTTTGCTGCCACTGGGGTGATATGCGGGGGGAATTCTTGCAACGTCGGACCTCGGGGGTACTGCCATCGTGCTACCATTAGGGACGACAGGTGAGGACTGAATGAGCTGAGCTGGCCACGGCGAGCCTCGGCCAAGAACATGTTCCCCCACCTAAACCTCAAGAGCGGCCCCTTCCTTGGGCGCCAGCGGTGGTCCCGGAGGAGCTCCCGCCTTCAGTGTCGGCGGCCCTGGCCACAGGGCCTGCGCAGCGTACCTCCCAGCCCTCCCCCTGACGTTGCCCCTTCGCTTCCAGATCATAGTTCGGCTCCATGGCCGCCGTTCGGGACGATCGGGGCTCCCACGGAACGCTCCCGGCGTGGCGCAGCTGCCGGAGCGCATCCCGAGGCTGCAGAACCGCCGAGAAGCCACGAAAACACCCGAAAACCCGAGTCTCGAGTCTCGAATCGCAACGCCCCGATCGCAGGGGCGGCCGGCGGTCGCCTTGTTCCCCGCGGCGTCCGCCGCGGCCAGCACCGCCGGCGGCGGCGGCACCTCGGCGGGGCCGCCGCGCGCAGCCGCTGGCAGAGGAGGCTCCGAAAGAGATGGAAAGGCCCTTCGAGGCGCCCTTCGAGGGCCTCCTCCTCCTCCTCCTCCTCCTCCTCCTCCTCCTCCTCCTCCCTCCTCCCTCCTCCTCCTCCTCCTCCTCCTCCTCCTCCCTCCTCCTCCTCCTCCTCCTCCTCCTCCTCCTCCTCCTCCTCCTCCTCTTGCCTCCCCTTGCCTCCCTCCCTCTCCCCCTCTCCCCCCTCTGGGGGCCCTCGAAGGGCGCCGGGACAGTCGAGAAGCGACTCGGGGAGAAAAACAAACAGCCCCAGGGCCCCAGGGAAGTTGTGCCGAACTCTGGGCGCCTGCGCGTCCAGAGGATTGGAGTGCCGGATGTCGGGGTGACACCCTGAGTCCCTGGACCAACGCAATTTGTTTCACGCCCGGCGGCCTTGCGGAGCCCCGTCGCTCCAATTGTTTCGATGCGTGACCCCCGGAGATCCGAGGTTGTTTTGATGACGGACCTGGGGCCCGTTGCGGGACCCCAGAAGCCGAAAACGCCCAAAAACCAGTCGCTACATTTTTCGTCGGAGCCTCCTCTGGACACCCGAAGGGGGTGCGGAAAACATGGGAACGTTGCCCAACAAAACCGACAGCGGTCGCTGTTGGGCAGGCAGCCTCTGATCTAAAATGGACAACGCTCGCGGCACTGACAACGAGTCCTGCTCAGGACAGAGAGCGCTGTCGGTCTTCGTACCCATCATGTCCGCACCCACTTCGATCGTACTGAATTGAGAACCAAAAGAAGCCGACAACGGCAAAACAACAACAAAACAACAACAACAACAAAACAACAACAACAACAACAACAACAACAACAACAACAACAACAACAATAACAACAACAACAACAACAATTACTAGCACGTGAGGACACTCCGTTCTCACCAGTGCCAGGGTTTTCATACGACGCCCGCCAATACCCCCACTTTGTGGGGGGGCCGGTTCAAGCTCTACCACATTTCCAAACGACTCTTCGCCACCACCCACACCCAGCTTCCCGCCCTATGACGTTCGGACACTTCACTTCGTGGCCTGCGGACGACCGTGGCTACTATTCAGGGCCCCGCGGCCGACGACGACGGCGTGCGCGCGCGAAGAAAAAACGAATGTGTCCCGCATGGTATTATTTGACAGGGATGATGGCCCTGGCAGGTGCGCAACCGTTGTTGCAGAAGTTCGAAAAAGTTGCTCGCAAAAGCCCGTTTGACAGAAATGTTTAAAAAGTGTTGGGTTTCCTACGAATCCGCAAGAGCGCGCGGGATGAAATTTTGACATTTTTTGTTGAAAAACCATTGGTTTTTTGATGTTTTTATGTTAAAATCGCTACGAAAACTAAGGTTTTGGAAGGATTTCGTCTTGCGCGCGCGAATGTCCACTTTACCTTATTTTTTGCAAGGGATTCTTGAAGTTTGGTTATGTTAGAACAAGAAATGTCCACTTTAGCTTATTTTTTGCAAGGGAAAACCGCCCGTAACAAAACAACCGGATCCGGACCAACCCGTTTTGCCTGAGACTTCCTCACGAAAATGATGAAAATGATGGCTGCGGCCTAGGCGCGGCGAGGGGGCCGTGCACCAGGGGTCCCAACAATAACTATTCTTTAGAAGTAATAATGTTCAACAACAACAACAACAACAACAACAACAACAACAACAACAACAACAACAACAACAACAACAACAACAACAACAACAACAACAACAACAACAACAATTACTAGCACGTGGGGACACTCCGTTCTCACCAGTGCCAGGGTTTTCATAGGAGGCGGGCAATACCCCCACTTTGTGGGGGGGCCGGTTCAAGCTCTACCAAATTTCCAAACGACTCTTCGCCACCACCCACACCCAGCTTCCCGCCCTATGACGTTCGGACACTTCACTTCGTGGCATGCGGACGACCGTGGCTACTATTCAGGGCCCCGCGGCCGACGACGACGGCGTGCGCGCGCGAAGAAAAAACGAATGTGTCCCGCATGGTATTATTTGACAGGGATGATGGCCCTGGCAGGTGCGCAACCGTTGTCGCAGAAGTTCGAAAAAGTTGCTCGCAAAAGCCCGTTTGACAGAAATGTTTAAAAAGTGTTGGGTTTCCTACGAATCCGCAAGAGCGCGCGGGATGAGATTTTGACATTTTTTTGTTGAAAAACCATTGGTTTTTTGATGTTTTTATGTTAAAATCGCTCCGAACACTAAGCTTTTGGAAGGATTTCGTCTTGCGCGCGCGAATGTCCACTTTACCTTATTTTTTGCAAGGGATTCTTGAAATTTGGATTATATTAGAACAAGAAATGTCATTTTATAGTGTTTTTTGCAAGGGAAAGCGGGCGTCAACAAAACAACCGGATCTGGATGACATCGTTTTGCCTGAGGCTTCCTCACGAAAATGATGAAAATGTGGCTGCGGCCTAGGCGCGGCGGGGGGGGCGTGCACCAGGGGGCCCAACAATAATTATTCTTTAGAAGTAATAATGTTCAACAACAACAACAACAACAACAACAACAACAACAACAACAACAACAACAACAACAACAACAACAATCATTTTACCCGAACGCTCAGTGTTCTCACCAGTGCCAGGGTTTTCATGCGACGCGAGACAATACCCCCACTTCGTGGGGGGGCAGTTCAAGCTCTACCAAATATCCAAACGACTCTTCGCGACCACCCAAACCCAGCTTCCCGCCCTATGACGTTGGGACACTTCACTTCGTGGCGTGCGGACGACCGTGGCTACTACACTGGCGTGGGGTACACACCCACAGAACTTGGTCACTTATTCGGGGCGCGCGTGTGCCCAGCATCCTGCAATTGTGACATACAATACATGACACAGACAGACAGAGAGAGAGACAGAGAGCAGACAGAGAGAGAGACAGAGAGAGCGGAGTTGGTCACATTTTTGGGGCAAGTTCCTGAGATCGTCGTGTTTTTTGTTGGTCTTGCGCGCGCGAATGTCCACTTTACTTTTTTTTGCAAGGGAGTATTGAAATTTGATTATGTTAGAACAAGAAAAAGTAGCTCGCGCGAGCTCATGTAACATAAATGTTGAAAAACCATTGGTTTTGTGGGAGTCGGACAGCGCGCGCGGGATGAAATTTGGACATTTTTTTTTGAAAAACCATTGGGTTTTTGATGTTTTTATGTTGAAATCGTTACGAAACCTAAGGTTCTGGAAGGATTTCGTCTTGCGCGCGCGAATGTCCACTTTACCTTATTTTTTGCAAGGGATTATTGAAATTTGATTATGTTAGAACAAGAAAAAGTAGCTCGCGCGAGCTCATGTAACATAAATGTTGAAAAACCATTGGTTTTGTGGGATTCGGACAGCGCGCGCGGAAGGACATTTTGACAATTTTTTCTTAAAAAACCATTGGGTTTTTGATGTTTTTATGTTAAAATCGTTACGAAACCTAAGGTTTTGGAAGGATTTCGTCTTGCGCGCACGAATGTCCACTTTACCTTATTTTTTGCAAGGGATTCTTGCAATTTGATCAAGTAAGAACAAGAATTTTCATTTTATAGTGTTTTTTGCAAGGGAAAACGAGCGTCAACAAAACAACCGGATCCGGACACAATCCACTTTTCTGAAGCTTTCGCGAAAAAATGATGAAAATGTAGCTGCGGCCTAGGCGCGGCGGGGTCGCGCACCAGGGGTCCCAACAATAATTATTCTTAAGAAGAAATAATGTTTCAACAACAACAACAACAACAACAACAACAACAACAACAATCATTTTACCCTCATGCGCCATGCTTCCACATGACACATGCATCCATCTGGATAACACACCCCATCATGGGGGATTTTTCTGGCATGCGGGATCCGATATTCCCTCACCCAGATATCCCGCCCAAGAAGGTTTGGCCACCACCTCTTCCGAGGAACTTCAACATCCATAGCTCGGACGGCACATCGCCTTCGCAATCGCCTTGCGCATGCCCCGCATCTCAGAGGGAGAGGAAGAGGAAGAGGAGGGGGAGATGAGAGAGATAGGGAGGGGGAGGAGGAGAAGGGAGGGGGAGGAGGGGGAGGAAGGATGAGTAGTTGTAGTAGCAGCAGTTGATGATATTGTTGTTGCGGCTGTAGCACTAGTAGTAGTGGTAACGGTAGTAGTAGTCCAAGTAAGTAGAACTGGCTTGTGGCAGCCAAGCGTTCATAGCGACGTTGCTTTTTGATCCTCCTTTAATGTCTTCTCTCCCTATCCTTGAGACGCAGAAGTCTCAAAAAGTTGGATGGTTCAGCACATCCAGGAAACCTATCGCTGGACCGGCCCAGATATGGTTCCAGAAGCGGCTCGGGAAGCTGCGCAGGCGCCAGAAGCAGAGAAGCACCACGTACGGGCGCCGGCTCGGGCGTCCGGCCCAAAACCGCTCCAGAATCGGCCTAGGACGGCTTCCCGGGCGCCGCAAGCAGAAATTCAGCATTCTCTAAAGAAAAATGTGTATTGGAATGGCCTCTTTTCGGCGCGATCGGAACTGCCCGGGCGTCCGGCCCGGGAGCCGGGCCGGGTGCCGGCCGGGCCGGGTGCCGGCCCGAGCTCCGGAATCGGCCCGGACGGCCTCCCGGGCGCCGGAAGCAGAAATTCAGCATTTTTGAAACAAAAATGTGTATTGGAATGGCCTTTTTTTCGGCGCCGCCTCGGAACTCGATTTTCCGGCGCCCGGGCGCCGGCTCGGGCGCCGACCCGGGCGTCCGGACCGGGAGCCGGGCCAGGTGCCGGCCCGAGCTCCGGAATCGGCCCGGACGGCTTCCCGGGCGCCGGAAGCAGAAATTCAGCATTTTCGAAAAAAAAAAAAAAATGTGTATTGGAATGGCGTTTTTTCGGCGCCGCCTCGGAACTCGATTTTCCGGCGCCCGGGCGCCGGCTCGGGCGCCGACCCAGCCGGCCCGGGAGCCGGGCCGGGTGCCGGCCCGAGCTCCGGAATCGGCCCGGACGGCTTCCCGG